ATCAATCAAAAGAGATGAAGAAGGTCATTTCATATTCATCACAGGAAAAATCCATCAGGAAGAAGTCTCAATTCTAAACATCTATGCCCCAAATACAAAGACACCAACATTCGTAAAAGAAACATTATTAAAACTCAAATCACAAATAAGACCTCACACAGTTATAGTGGGAGACTTCAACACCCCACTCTCACACCCCACTGGACAGGACCACCAGATAGAAACTTAACAAAGAGACAAAGGAACTAACAGAAGTTATGATACAATTGGGATTAACAGACATCTATAGAACATTCCATCCAAACACAAAAGAATATACCTTCTTTTCAGCATCACATGGAACCTTCTCAAAAATTGACCACATACTCAGCAACATAGCAAACCTCAATAGGTACAAAAAAATGCAATAATCCTCTGTGTCTTATCAGACCACCTTTAAAGTTAGAAATCAAAAACAAAAAGTGCAGAAAACCTACCAACTCATGGAAATCGAACAACACACAATTGCACCATTCCTGGGTCAAAGAAGAAATAAAGAAATTAAAGACTTCCTAGAATTCAATGAAAATGTAGGCACAACATACCCAAACTTATGGGACCCTTTGAAAGCAGTACTAAGAGGAAAGTTCATAGCTCTAAGTTTCACATGAAGAAACTAGAGAATAGTCACACCAGAGAGTTGACATCATAGCTGAAAACTCTAGAACAAATGGAAGTAAATTCACCTTGGAGGAGCAGATGCCAGGAAATAATCAAACTGAGGGCAGAAATCAATAAAGTGGAAACAAAGAAAACAATTCAAAGAATCAGTGTAACAAAGAGTTGGTTCTTCGAGAAAATCAACAAGATAGACAAGCCATTATCCCAACTAGCCAAAAGGCAGAGAGAGAACATGCAAATTAACAAAACCAGAAATGAAAAGGGGGGACATAACAATGGACACTGAGGAAATCCAGAGAATCGTCAGGTCATTCTTTGAAAACCTGTACTCCAAAAAATTTGAAAATTTAAAGGAAATGGACAATTTTCTGGACAGATATCACTTACCAAAATTGAATCAAGAACAGATAAGCAACTTAAACAAACCTATAAACTCCAAGGAAATAGAAGCAGTTATCAAAAGTCTCCCAACCAAAAAAAGCGCAGGGTCAGATGGATTCACTGCAGAATTCTACCAGAAATTCAAAGAAGAGCTAATACCAATATTCCTCAAATTGTCCCACACAAAAGAATCAGAAGGGACAGTCCCAAACTCTTTTTACGAGGCTACAATCACTTTGATACCTAAGCCACACAAAGACACAACTAAGAAAGAGAACTACATACCAATATCCCTCATGAACATTGATGCAACAATTCTCAATAAAATACTGACATATCAAATCCAAGAACACATCAGAAATTTCATCCATCTTGATCAAGTAGGCTTCATCCCAGGGATGTAAGGGTGGTTCAACACATGAGAATCCATCAATGTAATCCACCATATAAACAGACTGAGAAAATAAACCACATGATCATCTCACTAGA